AGGGCTTGGCTTATATGTTTTCATCTTCTAAGACAGTGCAGCTTCTTGTACTTCAGAATCGGAGGAGAAATCATGTTAGAAGACTTAAAGCTGGAAAAGCCATGCTCTCTGCAGGCTGTGATCAGGAGAATGAGATTATCCTTTGCAGGCAGTCTCATTACTCTGGGCCAAATTCAAGCTGTAAACTCTTTAAATTTGCAGATTTTATCTAGGAGGGAATACATATTCATGCGAATTGAGGGTTCAGCCCATCATGCTTTCTCATATGCATACAATCTGAGCGTGGGCTTCTAGGCTCTTGCTCTTGAATTAGAAATTCAAATATGGGTAATTTTAAATTGTTCTGACTTGTTCTTAGATTTAAAGAAATGAAAGTGGTTTTGCTTAGGCACTATATTGTGGTGTGGAAATAGGGAGTGAAATAACAAGATCTATAATAATCTTTTAGGTGACAGTAATGTAAAGAAGAGCATTTGCTGTGCTGTTAAAGGACTTTTTACTTGCCTTTCAGTCTCTTCAGGCAGAGATCAGAGACAGCAGCTTAGCTTCTCTATGAAAAATAAGCATTTTTCAGTACAGGATTTATTTATTTTACACTGGTACTATGTGTGTGGTATGTTCTGTTGTGCAGATCTGCAAACTGCATTCTAACTACATTTTTTGTAACTGTGTGTATTATTAATGCAAGAACTGTTTCTGCTTAAGCAGTGTGTATATTTTTGTGTCATAAATGTAGAGAACAGCATGACTTGCCTTTTGCCCATTTTCATCCTTTGAATTTTTTCTTAGGAAACAAAACAGAAATGCATAATAGCCTGGTATGCAAAGGGAAGTATACTAGCAAAGTGGAAGGAAAGACATTCAGAAACATGCCTTCCTTTAGTAGAAAGCCATTCTTCCCAGTATTGTGCTAGTCAGCCTTCCTCAGAACAAAGCCACTTCCAGAGCATGTAATTCCTGCATGTAAATAGTAACTTCTCAGAATATTCTTAAAAAGGCATTTTAAACATTATCTGTTATATCATAACATTTAATGTCCTCTGCAGTCATGTGGGAAGCCTGTGATAGAGTGAGGAATGTGTGAACCAGACCACTTTGTTCCTAGTCTTCCTTCTGTCTCCTATTGCATTGAATTGGCATTCTTTGTTTTGCTTGCACACCATTTCCAATTATGAACCTCATCATCTTAGCAGGTTCCAATTATGTTATTACAATTCAACATACTCAGTAGCTATTCTTCTTTAAGGTCAGTAAAATGAGATACTTAAAGGGCACTGGCTCACCTGAAGTGTTTGGATCTTAAAATTTTTCCCGTAGTCTATGGTTACATGCCAGATCAGCCTCAGTTCCTGGACATGCAGCCTTCCCACATCCTCCTGCAACTCTCTAGCTGAAGTGCATATTTTGCCAAAGTATTACTTCATTCATCATCCGGAAATTACATCATTCCTCAGCTCCTGCGTTCCCCTTCCAGTCTAGCATGTATGCAGTGAGACCCTAGGATATATCAAGTATACATTCCTTTTCTTTTCTTTGTTTCTCGTTATGGATCCCAATGTGTGTAAGTCCATTGGAAGTCATTTAAATGAAGGTCCTACATGGTCATCTGTGTGAATGAAGAAATTACCCATGATGCACAGATTGCTGTGGGTTCTGCGAGTATTAGAGACCTTTCTTTTCCTGTGTATTTAGTCAGTTTAATTTGCATTAATTGAATTCCTGTCTTATTCTAGTCCTTTCATCAGCTGGGTCAAGAACTTTGCTTTCTCTGTGGTGGAGTTAGCTGATCTTGAATTTGAGAAGTAAGTTCTAAATGGTCCTTGTAATGGATTGCTAAGACTGTGAGGACAAGCAGTCAAATTCTTGATTAGCTGTTCTGCCGGAGAAGAATAGCAATGAGTCAAAACTATGGATGTCTTCCCAGGCAAGAATTTAGTGTTATTCCAAGGAGCTCTTTCTAAAGCCATTTACCCTGGTAGTAATACATAAAGCAGCTTTTAAGCAGACAGAATACCCCTCTTAAAATGAAATATGATGCTCCAGAGTGGTTGTAAAAGAAAATACTATTTCTGGTTCAAGTCACATGTAACAGATCACGGCTGTTAAAGCTCTTTGTCGGTAGAATGAATCGGTATTGACTGCCTGGTTTCTCTTGCGGGTCATTAGCTTGTCAGTTAATTGGAAAGCTTGTGAGGGGCTTCTCTGTGATGGTGTTTTGTGGTAGAAGAAAACAATCTGGGAACAAACTTAGTTAAAAGCTGTTTGTAGTTGGTAACTATGGCTGATTTGTACATGCTTTTGATTGCTGTGTGCAAGTTGTATGATAGGCTAATCTCTAAAAGGGATAAGGGATTCCTATGGTATTGCTCTGAAGGCTAACAAGGATTCGAAACAAGATACTACTGTGAAATTCATACCATAAATAATACAAATACACTTGTAAGAGTCTGTGTGAATGCTGTAACTGTAACAAAAGGATTCTTTGGGTTCAAGTCTGTGGTTAATGCAGCTTATAACTAGCTTTGATCAAAACAGTTACTAATGATGTTTTTTATGGATATGGGTCAGATTACTATAAAATTCCTTTAAAACTATAGTTCTGCAAAATTCTCTTAAAACTGTAGTTCTGCTGTCGTTAAAATGGCAGCATGTGGTTCCTATTTTATTTTTTCAAGTGACTTGATAGATGTTCATAAAAAAGAAATCTGGGTATAAAGAGGGTATTTTTTCCCACTCAGCACCTGGTCCTGAAAGTCTGCATGGGCTTGTGCATCCTTGTTAGCAATTCAGACTTGACAACTGGGTCTTGGTTTGTAATGCTGTTTTGGATGCATTGTTTAAAAAGATGTTAAAAAATGATCTCTCTCCTTGTTAGCTGTATGAGTTCTGCAGAGCAGTGACACGCTGTATGAACCTGGGGGGGCCTTCTGTGTGGAGAGCAAACAGATAAGAGGAAGAGCACATGGAAGAGATTTGTTCAATAGAAGTGCCATCTGTATACTGTTGTTCTTCTGGCTATAACTGCACTTTACATTTTATTATGGCCTGAGTCTTTAGAGTTGGATTTTATAAGGCAGTTTCATCACAATTGGGCCAGTCACCCATTATTCATTCAATTACACATTGCAGCCTTGCTGCTCCCTGTTGACATATGTACACAAAGCCCAACTTTTTTTTTTTTTTTTTCATAACCTGACCAGCTCAGATGCCAATTGTAGGAGATGCTGAAAGTCACTGAGAGCTCCAGAAATTGAGAAAAAAGTGGCTAAATAGTTCATTCCCTCTGGCATGCCCAAAGGCAAGCAGGCAGCTGATAATGGCACCATTATTTGTCTAACACTTTGTGTTTTGCACATATATTGCTGTAGAAAAGGGAGAAATTTGAGACTGCAGTGTGGGAAATGTCATTAAACCACTCTTACATAGCTAACCAGCTGCATTTCTGTTTGCTGCCTTATACAGGGGTTGTCTTACACTGTCATGAGCCATTTCTGAGGGGACTGCCTCATCTGGAGCTTTAGATACCCCCTCATGTGCTAGGATGGTAATGAGGTGACTGGCCTTGCTTGGTTGTATGTTGGAAAGTTGAGTGCTCCATGAAGCAGGGTATTAGGGAAAGCCATACAAATAGCTATCTCATTAATGTGGTTAAATGATGAATTCTGCCTCTGAGGCTGGTTCACTCCTGTGTGTAGCTGAGCAAAGGGTCCAGTCAGCCTTTCTATAGGTGATCAGTAACTGTGTGCTCAAGTCCAACTTTGTGTGCTTTGGGATTCAGACATGCATAAATGACTCTTGAAATAGGGCTCAGTAAGTGCTGTGCTTGGAAAACAAGAAGGAGCAGGTTCTCAAAACAAAATGAAACATAGTGATGGGCTGCAGGAAATGCATGCATGTCAAAATGGGCACTCAGTCTTACTTAACATGCTTTCTGAGTAATAGTGACTTGTCTTCCACTTGTAAAATGAATGCAGTGCTGTCTTATCATGTGAGAATATCATTAAGTCAGTGATGTTTCTGAAATATTTGGATGTTTCAGTGCCAAACCCAGAAAGAACAGCTTAGAAATAAATTAATAGTTCTTATTCGGGAAGAATAGTAATGGTAGCTCATGAAAGAAGTACAGGTTTTATAATACAGGTAAAAAAAAAATTGAAATGCTGCTGATGGGGAGTGGTGACTGTCATGTACACAGAATTGAGGTATCTGAGGGAAGAAAATAGCATGTGAGAAAGTACTTGAACACTGCATAAAAGTGTATGCCTCCTAAGTAGGAAGGAGGGAAGCGTTAAAGTTAGAAAAATAATCTCTATCCTAACTCCTGATGTTTGGTTTGACTTGGATTTTTGAACCTTATGTTAAAAATGTAAATTGTGAGTATATTTGCAAGAACCAAAGGCACAGGTTTACATTAGGTTCATAATTATCAAAGTAGTAAACCTACTTGGTTTGAATATGTGGAAGAAGACACTGAATTTGTTCATGTCAGCATGGGTCAGGCCACTGTTGAATCAATTTGGTATGAATATTTTGTAGGTTTTTATGGATCTAAGGAACCTAAGTAGTGATATTTCACGTAGTTACCGTGAGAACAAGTGACCGTAGTTGAACTTTTCCTGGCAGAGGTGAAAACTGGATTATAAGAGGATAGTTAACTGCGAACTCTGTGTCAGAAACACCTTTGTGTTAGTTGCTTGGATGATAATCCAGCAAAGCACCAGTCCTGCCAGAATTTATAGGACATTATCATTGCACAAATAATCATAACTGTGTTTCAAATGGTAAGTAAAATCCAAGTATTCATTCATAAAGAACTGTAAAGGTTGTGTTGTTTAGTCACTAGCAACACTGAAACTGTACACAGTTTTTATCTAGGTATTGGCTCTTTTGTGTTATTATGAATCATCTTAAAGCCTGTGTGCTTCCATATGAAAATGTCTTGTGTAGCAGACTGTGTTGAGCAGAGGTCAACTTTGTTATTTTATTTTAATCCCTTCTAGCCTTCAGGAAAAAGAACAATTGTTCAGCATGTCCATTAAAGAAACTACTGCCAAAGTAAGTACATGTTTTTAGTTCTTCAGAATATTTACAGAAGCAGATCATAGCTTGCATCTTAATAAGTTGTCCATGTTTTAGAAAGTTGGTTTGGTGGTGTTCCTTCTAAATAGATTTTGCACAAATATTTTTAAACATACACTGAAAAGTCCTCCCCAGGTTTATATTTGAACAGGCCACAGAGATTATAGGAAACGGAGGGTTTTTTTTACTAGCGATCAGTCATCTTGCTGGGCTCTATTCAGGAACAGGTGCCTTGGCTTCATGAAATAGAAGCAAACTCTGGTCATAGCTGAATGTTTTCACTCTTAATACAGAGCCTTTTACTTTGCTACCTAACTGGTTTTGTTGATGTAAAGGAAAAGTATAAATTAAGTACCTCTTTTTTTCTGCCTTTTCACTAATAATCCAGCTAGCAATCTCATTCTCACACCTCTTTAAAAATATAAAGAAAAGTGATAATGCATATTTAGCATAACTTTTGTTTCTAACCAGAGGTGTTAATACTTTTCCTTTAATTTTATTATTTCTCATGGCCTCGTTTCAAGAATACTGAAGTTTTCTTTTTTTTTAGACTGTGAGCCACAGAGCACCTTTGCTCCACAAATGATTTAGAAAAAAAAAAAAAGAACCATTTACGGTAGCTAATTCATACAGATCTATATGAAACAGGGAGTGGAAAATATTTCTGGGTTTTGATCAATAATGGATTTATACTCTGAAATAAACTTATTTGTCATGTTCTTTCTCTAATAGCACTCACCAAAATCAGTAAAAGTTTTTTCCTTTATAATCTGTTCTTCCTGTTCATCTGGACCAACACTTTTACCATTCACTGTTAAAATGATTGTTCAAAGACTGTATCTTAATACCTCTCCTTCCTTTTCTTCTACTTTATTTTGAGCTCATCTCCTCTGTTCCTTGGTTATGCTCACATCTTGGGAAAATTGATATAGACCATTATAACATGATGCTTCCCCCTGTATTTTTTAAATGACTGTGCATATAGTGTCAAGAAGATTGTTGTAACTGACCTACAGCTCATCTGCTAAAATGAACAAGATGTACAGTACCATGAAGTGATATGTTGTTTCAAGCTATTTGTAAACTAAAACATCAATTCCAGAATTTGCCTTCTCCCCCTGTTGAGGTTCCATTTTGCAGCTGTGGTATCTAGAGGCTTTTTCAATGAAACCTGAGACATTGGGTAAGAGTAGAAAAGTCTGTGAGGTAGAATTCCACCGCTTGCATATTTCTTGAAATTTTCAATGGATAAAATATTGTTTAGATTCCATTCCTATGTGATGGCTTTTATCTATTGGAGAAGATAAATAAGAAGCATGTAATAAGACTCCTACAAATTAGTTTACTATTTGGTTTATTCAGATTATCTCATCCTATTATTTTAATCTCAAACTAAATAGAGCTGGTCTTTTAAACCTTTTTATTGTATGGGGAAAACACTCCTTTGTCAAAGGTCTTTCTCCTTTTGCTGCTGCCATTTCTATGGCCTTGTCTGCTTCATCTGTGTTGTTTGCAGCTGTGACTGTGAAAGCTAAGCTTCCCCTACTGATGAAGGGAACTATCTCCCTTATTCACCACCTTCCTTCAGAAATGAGTATCTGCTTTGACTAATGGCAAGACTGTGCTGTGTGGGAGACCAGGAGGACTGTTTGTTCCTTCAGGCAGTGTTAAGAGAATTTCCTTATCTTTTCCAAGGTGCTGTTGTAAAGAAATGTGAAGGTTACTCGAATTTTTTTATTTCTTTTTCTTGAGCTGATTGGAGGAAGAGTGAATTCCAGCACTTTAGTTGCTGTCCTTGTCCCTGTTTTTGCTGCTTCACATTAACATCATATGCTGGAAAGGTGGAAGAGGATGACAATGGGCAAATTTGCTTTTGGTATTTTGGTGCTTTTCATCTTGATTCCACATATCTTTGCTAACCAGCTTCCCACTGGTTTCAGATAGACTGCTTTTTTGAGCAGTGTTTGTGTGTCTGAACGCAGATTTGTAAGGTATGTTCCTAAACAGAAGCCTTTCTCTTTTTTTTTTTAAGTCTGCATTAAAATAACCTCACAAACCACTAAAGAGGATTTTGAAATAGATACATTAATACTTGGCTGTAAAGAACCTCCCTGAAACTGAAAGGGAGTTTTTTTTTTTTAGATTTGGAGCTCATTGATCTGTGGGCTGCAGCAGAGCTGGTCAGTGAGAATGGGGAAAGGGCATTGCTTGGGGCCACAGACATCTGCAGTGAGACTGGTTAGAGGAGGGTGATGTGCTCGCTGAGAGCAAAGGAGGACACTGGCTTTTTGAATGTTCACCATCTTTGTTAGCTAAGAAATAATCTTTCCTTAGTGGCTGAATAAGCTACTTTAATGAGTAGTGGTATCTGTTATTAAGATAAAATAATTAGAAAAAATGAAAAGAATTGGAGCTTGTAGAGTAGCCCTGATGTAACACAGAAGCAATGCTATTAGTTTCGGGGATATTACTTTGCCTTTTCCAGTCGCTCATTTAGTTTTGTTGAACTATGCCGTATGATAGGTCTGAAGATTAATGTTGTTCATTTATCTACAGAGTACATGTGACATAGATACAAGCAGAGGCTCGGCAATGCACTTATCTCATGTTCCAGAAGAATCATCTCTGAGTTAGAACTGCCTTTCAGCCTCTGGTCCCTTCATTTGGTCCATTAATAAAGAGCACGAGCAAGCTTTGTTCTGACAGTAGTGCTTACAAAGTGGACAGTGTTCACTAGAAACTGATTAAACCTCCCAGCTTATTTTGCATAATTGCCAAACAGCTGTCTGGTGATAATGACTTTAAGTTACTACCAGCATGGGATATATTCATGCAGTTTTCCTGGAGCGGAAAGATTCCCCATCTAATTGCAATTCACTGAGCCATTCAATGCCCCTAAAGAGAGAGCACTGCTTAGAAAGAAGTCATTAAAAACTTTCAGATTTATTTTGGAGATGGGAGACAGAAATGGCCTTTGGGTTCTTTGGGTGCATTTATTCACCTCTGGCAGGTTTGGGGGTTTTAACAACATTTTAGCTGAATTAGTTGGTGAGTCACTTAGAAGGGAGTACTGAAACAAAGCAAGATATCTGGGAACTGAAAAATTACAGTAGGTGCAGAAGTGATGAGGTATGTGTTTTTAAATTAATAGGATGACTCTGAAGTCTTTAGATAGTAACAGCTACTGCTTGGAGGATAGTTCTGTTGACTCAAAAAAAATATGACCCATTTATGGATAACAGATAATCTCAGCTAAAGCAAGAGAGTATTATTAATTTAAAATGATTTACAGTTAGTGTCATGTCTGAATTATTATACTTTAATTGTACAAACAGATAATTCACTAGAACTCATAAGGCTTTTGCTCTTAAAAAGTGAAGTGATAGCTGTGCTGTTGTTAATCAGCATGGCACTGGTATTTGAGGAGGAGGAAAAAGTGAAGGAAAGCAAGGAAACTTCTCCCTGGAGATGTCATTTCACATCACATCTTTTCAGAACTGGCCTGTGCCTATCCTGTCTATTGGTTTACCCTTGGTTCCAATGAATGCAATGTTTTCTTAAGTGTCAGCTACAATTTTAAGCAAGTGTTTGACATCTGCCTTCAGAACAAGGGATTTGCCTTAGTTCAATGAAGGATTTTTGTTTGTTCATTTTTGTTTCCTTCCCAAATGATGGAATATGGAGTAAGCTCCAATATTTTTGAATATGGGGGAGTTGTGTGAATTGTGTTATGCTGCATATGATTCTTTTGAGGCGGCAATGTATGCTGAAATGTAAAGTACCGAAATAGCTGAACTTCCTTTACACTTTTTTCCCCTCCTGTCTCTCTCTATGTTTTTAATACCAGTCCTGATTGGTTGCTGAAGAACTTCCAGTTAAAAAGACAGAAAAAAGAAAGTCAGAAACCTGAACCCCAGTTTCCTGATTGTGAAGCAAAATACAGTATTGAGCTGGTATAGCCTTATTTATTGCTGGTGCAAAAATAGGGCTGCTTTTCCTTTATTTTTTCAGTTAAGATGGGGAGCAGAGTATATTGTGCATAAAAATTGCTGTACACTGTGTGTTATGGCATTTTAATCTCCAAACATTAGAGTTTTTATGCTCCTTTCCAACCATCACTGTTAATACTGAAATTGTACAGAATTTCGAAGATGGCCTTTCTTCTGTGTGCAGTCTCAGTATCTAGTAGTGAAACACATCCTCTCTCATGCAGTTAGCTAATGCTAATACCATTCCCTCTTTTTATAATAGAATGTGCAGCAAAGCCTGAAAATTTTGATTCATGTTGGGTATTTCTGTAAAGACATCACTTTTTATTAAGCTTTTTTACCTCGCTGCAGGATGTTATGTCGTGTCTGTAAACCAAAAGCATTTGAAGCTCCATTTCAACTGCCTTATACTTTTACATGAATGAATTATATATCATGGCTGTCTGCCTCGATTTAGGTGTGCACGAGTCAGAAACTCTGCAGTACTTTGAGGAGGAAAGTGAGTGATATTGAGACTCAACTACCAGCTCTACTTGAAGCCAAAGTGCTGGCTGTTTCAGGTAAGTCTTCAGTTATGACAAGGAGTAACATTGGTAAGGAATGTGTTAGAGCAGTTATTGATCTTTTCATAACAGACTTTTTAGGAAAAGCTGTTGATGCGCTTGTGTAGATACCTGGCAAGTCCAGCAGAATGGGGCTGTGTCATGCATTGTCTAAGGTACTTCAGACCCCTCTCCGTGGTGTGGAATTACTGGCAAAGCAGATGCTATGTGACAGGCAGTAAACATGCAAAAACCATTGTATTTTTCCATAAGTGAAATTGATGTATAATTATCAATAGCTGTTCCCCGACCTTACAACTTACATGCTTAGAGCTCTCTAGCTGAGTTATAAATATATAACTAAGGTATCATAATTACAAGGGTGGCTTTAAATGGCACTGTAAAACGGAATACAATAATTGGCAGCTTCTGTTGTTCAGATCATTAAGCAACTAATGTTGGCAGCAAAAGAGCAATTTTGTCCTTGGAGCACTCATGCATGTTATTTACAACCAGTAAAACACTGAAATGTGATTACAGAGTCTGATATATAACAGCTCAACATGCAGCTTACTTGAGATTACTGCACTGCTCACCGAGGGAAAAAGCAAAGCACAGTTCTGTCTCTGAAGCTGGCAGTAGTGGGATTTCTAATTCAGCAAATGGTTTCAAATGTTTAAGGTGGTGTCTCTCTGCTAGACACTTGCCTTAGGGAGGAAGCTGAGTAGAAAGGAATGTGGACTGGAGCTCAAGGAGTTTGTGTGTTGCACCAAGTAAAGAAAGGCTAAAGGGATTTTATACATGCCAAGGTGACATGCTGTAACTCTCCATGAGTGATTTATCAGTTATATACAATAATCTATCTGGCACACAAATTATTTTAAAATGAAATCCTGTGCAGTGTCAGATGGCTTGTTTGCCAGAAGTGGATAATGTCCAACTTGAACCAAGTCCTAAAGGAAATTAAGGCCCAGATCTTGTGTTGGTGCTTGGCATGCTCAATTTCATTAATTCTTGTAACGCCTTTTCAAAATGGAAATTGTCTTTATTACTCTGTCCACTTGTACATGGTAAGCTGAGCAATCATCCGTCTCTACCCATGGGCTATTTGAATGTAGGTAATTTTCTCACTTTCAGAAACAGGGTCAAAGTTTTCTGCAGCCATTTTATGGTTTCCTTAAGAACAAAATAGCCCATAAACTGGACATGCAGCTGCTTCATGCTGCCAGTAGGAAGCATTTGGCCGGAAAGGCTGTGTATAAGTCTGACACTGAGAAAGAATGACATCTTGAGGATTATATCATAACAGTATTTTAATCTTGTTAGCTCTTAAAAGAAGTTGCTTGTTTCAGGTGTAAATTCCAAAGACAGTTTCATGTTGCTGTTTCTATAAATTGTTTTCACAATACTTTGACTGTGACTGCCTGTCTGTGCTTTTGAAGAAGTATCGGTGCAATTTCTTTGTACGGATAAGAAGCTTTGTTTCTTTATTTTTTACTCTTGCTTTGAAAGTCTCTTACTTCGGGGAATTTTATTGACTGTGAATGGTACAATCCTAACTTGTTACTAAGGTAAAATTCTAGATGGAACTGGTTGAAAATCAAGGATGAAAGGTAATTTGGTGGTAGTGGATATTGTCATTTCTTTACTTCCTTGTAAAGTGCAGATATATTTAGTTGATGTGATGGCACTTGTTTGTGTTAAATGCAGAGTTTTATGCAGAGGATACAGGGGAGATATAAGAATAAAAAAATTGTCTCTCTGATCACCTGAAAGAGAAAAAAATATCTTAAAAAACCCAGAAATAGTTCAGTCTTAGACTATGAAGTGAATAAAATCAGAAAAGCCAGGATGCAGAGTGAATTGCAGCTAGCAGAGAAGCAAGTCAGGAAGAAAAGATTTGGTAAGTGCAGAAGAGGAAAGAGGTAGGAAGACATAAAATAGGAGGTGGTTTTGGTTTTTAGTTTGGTGGTTTGTTTTTTTTTTATTTGCTTAACAAGGCAAAAACAGTGAGCAGTGAATAATACAGAAAAGGCTGAATTACTCAGGTTTTGTGTATTCCTGTATTAGGTGTAACTGAATGACACCTCTTAAATAAGGCATAGTTAAGAAGTAGGTCTTAACATTCTAAATACTGGTTAAGATTTAAGCAAGATACTATATGTATACTTGCCCTAATCTGTCAGGCAGCTAACAATTAACAGCCTGGATATCTTAAATCATTAGAAGGTAGAAGAATTTTCAGTCTGGGAGCATCAGGCAGGGAAAAATATCTGTTACTTCTACTTTTTTACTGCAGCAGATAGATAATTCGTTCAAGCAGTTTCCTCAAGAACAGTACTAATGGATACTAAGAACAATTGGTTTTCTCTAAACAAATGTCACATCATTTTCATTTAACACACCATTTTTCTTGAGGAAGCAGTAAGAGTTAAGTGACTTTGGAACAGTGTCAAAGCAAAAAGGTAACTATCTCAAAAGTTAAGTTAGATGAGCTTAAGAATATAGTCATTAAGTGATAGATTAGTTTTCAGAGCTTATGTGTGGTGACATAATGATGTGATGATTTGGAAAACATGATATATACCTCAGCCTTTAAAGGCTACCTTGATAGCTTCAGACAAGATTTATCTTCTACATGAGATGTACTTTCTATTTCAAGTACATTGATTTACAGTATTGATGTATTTGCACCAGAAAATGCAAGATTATTATTGGTCTTATTTTGAGAGGAAAATACCACAATAAATGCATTGTAAGCATAACAATTCTGTTAGTCCTGTCAATAAAATACCTTGGATTTTAAGGCTGCATAATAAATGATACTGTGAAAACGTAAGGGACAATGCCATGTATGTAAATCTCTCCTCCCTATTATTTTCTCATTGGAAAAAGTGTAAAATTAAATTTGAAAAAGAAAGAAAGAAGATTTGTGATTGTTTGGATTATTGAAGGCCATAGAATAAATACAGTAGATTAATTAAATCCCAGTGAGATTTCATATGGGAAAAAGAAAAGAAGCCCATCCTTACATCTTACATGTTCAAGAGGTATTTCTATCAACAGTTACAATTCAGATTCTTTATATCAACAGCTCACTTCTGTTTGGATTCGCTTGTTGTGACAAATAACATGTAGTTAATAGTCCCAAGATGCTAGTCCAACATTTTTCTCCAAATTACTAGAATCTTATATTGTTCATGGGTTTTTAAGCTAGTAGCTTTAGCTAATTATAGCTAGCAAGAACTCCTGATTGCATGAGATGTTACTGTTGATGCAAACATTTGTAAATACTTATCAATGAAATCTTCTCGTTTAGCATCTAGTAGGGTTTTTTTTATTACCACAAACCACCTTAATGTCAGTGCTTAGAAACCTGTACGTGATTGTTATAACAGTTGCTTCTTAAAGTAGCTCTTAACATGCTCATAAAAAATGTGCCACTACATAGGGGAAGAACATGGCAGTATGTTATCTTGGCTCTTTCTTTTAGCATTGTGTGACTATCACAAAATTTTTTGGAGGGAATAAATGGCAATAATTGGAATCTGGCAAGAATGTTCAAATAGGATGATGTGTAAACAAGTGTGAACATAACTGCAGAAATATATTAAAACTTTCATACTTCCGGCTGTTTTACACAAGAGCAAATCATATATGAGAAATTGTATGTTTTGCATTTTTCCTTAGAAAATAATTTGAGAATAGGAAGGGGGATGCAAATTAAAACATACTTTTAGTCTGTTTTGTTTCCTGTATTTGAATACAAGAAGTTGTTTGATACATTTTACAATGTCTTCATAGGCTCCGTGGGTTTTTATTCTCTTGAGAATGCCTAATAACATGGGACAAGGTAGCCAGAAAGTGGCTTAGTGGAGAGCTAAGCAGGCATGAATGAAATACTGAATTCATTATGTAGTTATCTATGAGGTGTATGTCACTACCTTTCCTTATGTCTTTGCAAATACAAATTAGGTCCAAACACAGAAGTTAGTGAGGTGACTTGTAAGTAGTTAAAAAAAACCCAAAACAAACCCAAATAATTTTTAGTCTGAAAACTCTATACAAGTAAGATCATATGTCATCATCTTATAATTAGCATTACCTCTATTTCATTAAATACTAGCAAGTGGGAGCTGCTTGGAAATGCTGTTGTGGGATAATTTTCAGCAGTACAACAATAAGGCTTTTTTCCCTTATGTCGGTGTAGAAGTATAGTTTATATGTATCATGACATAACTACTGGATAGTATTTTTCACAAAGCTTTATGTTAGGACTGCTGCCTCTTTGGCTGCTCTTTGATGCTCATTTAAGGCAAGTTCTGCATGGCTCGGAAAGCAACTGTAACAAAAAATCCCCCAAAACCCAGCTTTCCAGCTTTGGTGCCAAGTATTCCTGTTGGGAATTAGTATGTTAGAGAGTGGACAGAGCCATCAGGCTGGAAGATGCCAGTGCAGGTTGAAGGACATTTTCAGCCAGCCAGCCAGCTCTTAATTTGTCTTTCATTGGAAGGCAATGGTGCTCCGGTTTCTTCTGTCTTTCCTGTTTCTGAGAACTGTTGTTTGGTAATGGTTGGAGAACTTGCCTCTTTATGCCTTCTCATGAAGTCTCAGTTTTTTGATGAATTGGAGTCCAACAGAGGTCTGCATCTTGTCAGATGACATAGCTGATTCCACACTTTCAGATTTCTGCTTCCAACGGCAGTCTGGGTTGATGGATCAGAGAAATATTGAGATTAATTCTACTTCATGACTACAATGTCTGGCTCCAGCATGCAATGCTGTGTATTGGTGTGTCTTCCCACAACAGTCACTTTGTGCTCCATGAAGTGAAATTTGCCACTGCAGATTGGTGCAAATGATGTGCTTTTTGGCAAGCCTATTAACTCATTTGAAAAACAGTGCTAGTGAGTCCCCCAAACCAACTCTCTAATGGTCACTCAGACTTCAGACAGCTATGTGTTGTGGTTTAACCCCAGCTGGCAATTAAGTACCACACAGACGCTTGCCTTGCTCTTGGTG